ATGTTCCTCCTAATTAGAATACGGCTCCTGACAGCATGCATACATAAATGGGAACGGGTTTCGGATAACTCCAGTTCTACAGTGTGGGTCATATATACGGTGTCAAAATATTTATGTATCTCCATCAGTTTTGGTCGAAACTTGATATCAACGAAAAGTATATTTACAGATACCATAATGAATCATATTATCATAATGAATGACGATAATAATTCACATTATCACTCCCTCTGACCTCCTCTGGATTTGATTACTTAACTGAGACGAGCCGGATACGCTTCGACTGTTACGCGGGTGACACCTTGGGGAGCTTCACCCTATGCTTTTCTCAAAGCACCTTTTAACGATCCAGTCGGAATGTGTTTTTCAGAGCAGGCCTTCCGTTCCATGATATAGGCCAACCCAGAGGTCCATTACGTTCAAATCGGTGGAGTTAGCGAGCCAGTCATCTGCCGCTATGAAGTCGGCCAAATTGTCACGACACCACTTTTGCACAAAGGCGGATCTATGAGCTGGTGCACGGTCCTGTTGAAAGAAGCAATCGTTCTGAGAAGTTCAATTAACCACAACCTTCTCGAAACCTCCTCGACGTAGTAATTGGCATCGGCTTACAAGCCGCACTTCTGCGCATTTGCGGATACACCTGCCCAAACCACCACCGATGCAGGATGTGAACTTTGGGCGTGGACGTTAATAAGTACGGTATGGTTACATTAGTAACTACAATTGGAGATCATGTTCTCATTTCGTCTACACCTTGACCGGATCTTTTGAGCGCAATACTTCTATTTTTAAGTTGAACTTCCACAAACTTCACAAGGGAGCGGAGACGGGTAGTGGCAAGTGGCGCGCTATAATATGTATGTGCTTGCTGCCAGAATGGAATCCAGGACCGGTAACTGCCTAGGCTAACGAACCCTCCACCTGAGAAGAAAATACTCTGACTCGTCCGTCGCCCGAAACCCCCAAGTAACTGTACAGATCACAGACGCTTTTAAAGTGCCAGACGAGTCTGAATAAAAATCGACCACAAGGCCGCATCCCGAAACGGACTGGCGAAACTCCGACCAATTCCTCTTTGGAATCATTTGTAAACAATCTTTGGTTCATTTGTAAACAACAATATTCTGCAGAATAGTTCAGAGAAGTTTTTATTCAAACACAGATTCATTCACAATCGAAGATGTTCAAAGGAAAAAAGAAAGATGAAGACATAAGCTAAGCATCAAAGAACGAATACTAGTCAGAGCTTTGGATGACGAAACAGTGCGAGGGCGTGAAAATGAATGAATAGATGTGAAGATCACAATTGCGATTTGCCAGAACCATATGGCCCCGTCGAATTTTCGTGAAAAATCAACAATTACACTTAATATTGTGAACGTATCAAGAAAATCACATTCGATGGGAAAGAATTTCGAAAGAAGGCGAGGAGCGAGAGGGGGAACGCTTTTTGAACTAGAAACCGATTGGGGATCAATCTATTTAGAACAAAGAGCAACATCACAGCATTTCCGATCGGTCACTAAGAAAAGCGGAGAACAAATGCTACTAAATTGATCACCGTCAAAAAATTACAGTATTACGCTGTTTTCTGATCAAGAGGAATACGAATTCAACTAGTATTATCGATCAGTGATTAGTTTTCCTGCCTACATCTATAACTTTGAGGAATGGAATAGACGACTATGGTAGAACTGCGTTTACCTCACCGGATTCTTATTTACTACGTCAGTGATCAGTCAATTGTACAATTACGCGGTTCGATGAATCAAATATGCTATTTTATTGTAGTAAATGCCTCAAAAGACATCCTAGATATACAAATCACAATTCAGCAACAAAATTCTTCTGACAAAAACCTCAATAAAATGGAGCAGCCTCGTTGTATGTAATGTGGATTGCACGGACGCTCAACCCGCTAGGAACAGAGTCATATTAAAGGGCGAGACACAAGATGGAATGCGTTTTGTGTGAGCAAAAAGGGAGGAGCTTCCCTCATAGTGGGCGTGTTCTCCCACACCTACGTTTACGAACACGTACGCACGCCACCCATGTAACTGCGCTCTTTTATACCCGGTATCATGCCAGTAATAACGCATTAAATGACCCCGTTCCCCACATGTCCGCCGCTGCTACCAGCCACCACCCTTACCCTGTAGTTACGAAGCGACCCACGATCAATTACGTGCACGTCGCGTCAACCCCATCGCAAAAATGATGATGGCAAATAGGACGTCAAACGAGCCGACAACGACGGCGTAGACGTCGACGATGGCGATGAAGGTGAAGGTGAAGAATCGGGTGTGGCGGCGGCTAGTTGAGACGTGGCTGCTCCGGCGCACCGTCAACTGGACGCTTGTTGTTTCTGTTCGCCTGAAAAAGAATGGGTTCTGATAAGTTGTAAGAAGACTACTGTAACCATCGCTACGCAATGTCTGCGAGAAAGAAGCAAACAAATGTTTAATTCGGTTCTCGAATAATGAAATGGCAAAACCGTTGGTGCCAATTTGCCTTCAGAAAAATAATACAGTAACAGGCAATAGGTAATTTTACTTACTAATTTCGAGAATTTCCGGGTGCCGTTCAATAACACGCATTAGAATACCATTAATATACACCCGCAGTTTCTGATTACAGACTTCCTGTTCGCGGAGCGCTTCCAGAATCTGTAAATATCCATTTCAGCATTTCTTTCTCAAAGGTGAATTGAGAAAGCTTGAGGAAGCGATATTTTTCTAGAGGCTAGAGCATAAGGATGGAGAAAGAATCACTTTCTGACAATCCGAGAAATTGGAGAGGACCAACCGAAGCTTATTAGGTAAATTTCCTTTCTGTTAAATAAGTATATTACGGTCAGTAAATTTCCCATGCCAAATGATCGCTATTTCGTGTGGACCACAACTAATTTTTTGAGTACTTCAAATCTTCAGTACTTCGAGGTTCTCCTCATATGAGTACAAAAATATGTACGAGTTTCATTTAACCAACGAAGTGGGATGTTTCACTCAGGACACTTTCGCCCTAGAATGGTTTCCACGTACCTGTTGGGAGTCTCCGCCTCCGCTCATGAGTTCGTCAGCCAACGACGGCTCGTCGGCCAACAAACTACGGCCTCGTTCAACACTGGCTGCCAGAAGCTGTGCTTGCAGGTCGTCACGTTCACGTTGCAAATCGCGAATGTCCGCTCGAGCCTGCTCCAGTGATTCTTCAAGACCACTCATCTGAACATAACGACTTTGATGGAAAAAGGCAAAATTCTACCGTGGCTGAGGAAAACTCGAGTTCTACAACTGAAAAAATGAGCATTACTAGTTTTCATTAAGGGCACAAGTGAAACCCCTTTTCAACCTCTGTGGGGACTTTAGTCTAAATACAATAGCCCCAACCTGCTCAATGATCGAGCCTTGCCGAGGGGCTCCATTTCGCCGTAATTCCTCCGTTTGTTGTGTCAGCACCTCAACCATCTCTGAGCTGCTGTCGATGTCTTGCTGGGCTTCTTCTTTGAATCTGAATTCAGGCGAATATTTCATCTTTCGATGCCAGGAATGTCTGATCATCGAGACACATATAACCTAATGTCAAGTAGCCGAAAACGAAGAAATTGGAATCGTCTAGAATCTTGAAGGGAAGACAAAAGTTCAACTCGATTCAATTTAAGTGCGAGCTCTTACGACGATCGGAAGGTAGTGGAACTAAGCGAAGGAAGGATCTCAAAAGAACTCTACGACATCCTTGGTTCTCTCAAGCTATATAGTTAGGCCCCGTGCAAGAATCTAGAGCGTCCGGTTTTTGCGGGTGGCCGAGTTCGTGATCCAGGCTCCAGGCATCTTATTGTTAGACGACAACACTATGATGTAGTAGTTTGCAGGATTAGTAGACTCGCCGGAATGAATTACCTTTTGAATTGTCGTTCCAACTTGATCCGCTCATCCTCAAGATCTTCAATGAGAAGTTTGTTTTCGGCCAACTGCCCACGAAGGTCTTCGACGACATCGAGCTGTCTTGCCGTCTCCTCTCGTGCCTTCTCTGCTTCTTTTCTAGCAGCAATTAAATCTCTCTCGAGCATCTTAAAAAAGTTTAGCTCTTTCCAAACATCAAGCAAATCTCTCTCAGACTGCACCTACCTGATATTTTAACGATAGGCTTTCATTCTCCAGTTGTTTTTCGCGTTCGATTCGCTGTAAAAGCTCTCGTGTCCGATTTTTCTCCTCTTGTAACTGTTCCCGAAACCTAAACGGTGATAAATGGAGGTAAAATAAAATACATTCATGAAATCGACTGCGATAATGTAATAAAAACACAGGAATAGTAGCAATCATCAAATTACAAAATCCCTGGAATGATCGACAGCCTGAGATTGTTCAAGCTTTTACATGATGGACCAAAAGCGTCTACAGTGGTGTGTGTACGGACTGGGAACCCTTTGACGACAGCGCGGCTCAAGGGTGACCCGCGGGAGCGGAAAGCTTCGGAATGCGTCTGTCCCGCACGTCAGACATGCAAAAAGGCGCGCTGTTGTCAAAGGGTTAAAGGGAATCAGTGAAGCTCGAATTCGAGAGAAAGCGTCCAGAAGGGGAACCTAAAGACGAGGTGGCAGAACCTGATCAAGAACGACCCCGGCAAAAGTAAGGCAGCAGCTGAAGATGCTGTGGACAGGAGTAGGAGGAAGTGGCGAAGACTGACAGAAACAATGGACCCTACGGATTTGACTTCAGGGGAATTATGAGAATGATTCAAGTAACCAGTGAAGCTCCTTTTTCACGGCTTCATATGATAAGGGCAGAGAGAAAGCCATTTGGCCCAATCTAAATGTCCGAACTATCCTTTTGCTTACCTTTGTTCAGCGACTAGCAGTTGCTCTTCAAGCACGTGAACTCGTTCAGTTAATACTGCGTTTTCCGTCCGTAGACGACCACGTTCGTCGTTGCTGTGCAATTGCTGTTCTTCCATCTCGGACAACTTTTTCGAGATCATCGTCACCTGGAAGCAAGTTGATTAGTTTGATTCTGAGCTGATTTTGCCGAAAAACTAAAAATGTAGGGATCGATAAGCTATGAACTTATTCCATCATTAATTAGAAAGGAGGAAAAAGAAAATGAAGAAGCTGATCGAATACATCCTCTACTATGGCCAACACAGCCACTCAGTCATCGTAATCATGCTTAAAAACTAACCACCCCCGTAGAAATTGGTAGGCTAGATCATGTAATTGAGCGATTCAGGATTTGGAAACTCTATTTACAAAGCTCAAAGAGGAACTTTGCTGGAACTTGCTCCGAACAGCTTCATCCTCCTCTCTCCCACGAGGCACATCTTCAAGGGGACTTAACTGCTTTAGACAGAGATCCCACAACGAAACCATTAGCGTCGGCTAGAAACTAAGCTCAAAAAAAAAACTCGAAACCGAGCTTAGCCAGTAAGTAGTCGACAAATAGCCGCCGAACAGACGAGTAGTATCCATCCTTTGACAAATATGAACATATTGAACCGGCACACCCTTTACGAAGCATATTCGAGGGCAGCTCGGCACCGAATATTTTCATGAGTCGGATTGAAAAACCATGACAATGAAAAATGAAAATTGCTTTTTCTATACTATGGAAGGGAGATGAGGCTCATATTGAATCATAAATGGTTGCGATCAGAGTATAATCGAAGTTTAGTGTGGGCTCGCGATAAAGTAACACAATTGCTAGCTGATCTGCCCTTTGGGAGCGTTACCCATTGACAACCGAATCAAATCGTAAGGAATCCCTCCTTCTGTATAAAAGAGCGAGGGAGCCTGTTCAGGTCAATGCACATTTAGCCCTTGGAAACTAGATCAGCACCCACTTTGGAGGAATGAGGGGCTGAGTTTTTCCTTGAGTGGAAACCTGATCCAGCGGAGGGCGACGACGTGACAGCCAGACCAATCTAGCTATGTCATTCCCTTGTCGTAGCTCCATGGGATTCCATTACAAAATGGTCATTTCCATTTCCGATAGCGAGAGGATTGACTGGATTGACGCTGAATAGAGGAAAAGGAGTGATGATTTTGATGAGTCAAAGAAGCCAGCGGACTAGCCAGTTGCTGTGGACAAGCCATTCCACTCTTATTCTTCTGAAAAGAGAAAAAAAGTAAAGAAAATGCGCAGAGGCTTGAAAATCGCTGGGGAAGTCAGCTGCCAATTGAGATGACTGTAACAGAGCGATTGCTGGGAAGTTCTACAAACGAGTGCTCATCGAGGAACTTAACCCATCTTTGAAGGTCGATAGGGTCGCGTCCCATGTTTACTTTTTAGTCACGGAACCACATGGAAACCATTACTGTCACGCGATTCAGAACGTTACCAATGTTGACTATAAACACATACCATTATGGCAGCCATTCTGTCCGAATGAGGTGGGCTAGTCGAAAATGAGATCGCTATCGGTTATTTTCAGAATGCCCCATCGATTGAAAAATGATTTAAACAGCCGATTTTTGGGCCCACTCGGAGTGCGTTCAGAATTGACCGGGGCACTTGAGATGAGAATTCGTCACTCGGTTCCGAGACAGCCCAGGGTCCGGATGAAATCGATGAATTTGAGCATTCCCAGGCAGTAGATGACCAGGTGTAGGCCGTAAAAACTAAGGGAAAGGGTAACAAAATCAATAAAATCGTTGAGGGTAAAAGGAACAGGGTGAGGAACTCAAACATTTCTTGCCGGACACAATAAAAAACTGGTTCGATTGTGCGACGGTCGCGCGCCAGCAAATAATGAGTAGTCCAAAGGTGTGTGTGTGTGTGGGAGGATGGAAAGCTAGTGACGCAGAAACTAGGCGATTACTCAGAATATCAACAATGGTTATTAGGGACGGGGAGGTGGCAATAATCGTGGTAGTTACAGGAGAAACTGAAAAGAATGCAGCGTAACAGCGATGGGCACAGTGGTGGTGATTAGTCACCACGTAAGCTGTAAGGTCTCCCAATCAAAAAAGTTCGTTCGCCAGAGACAGAGTGACTGATTGGGAGGAGAGGAGAGGTGCAAAGGAACATCTGTGTGAATACTTTTCTTAAAACTCTGCTTATGTTACACAGACACGTGTATTTTAGTGAAAAAAAGCTTTCACCACAACCTTTCAGTAATTTTTCCGGGAGAAAAATTTGATTCTGTGTGGGAAAAAGTCCCAGACCCAGGATGTTAGTGAGGCAGAGCATATGGATGGGAAGAAAAGTCAAGCTTGAATCAGTGAAAGTAGCCCGTGCAATAGTGTAACCTCGGTGTTTTCGTAGTTACTTCCTTAATGAATTCAAGTTAACCTATGTTCAGTCCTTTTTGGCCTCCCAATTCCCATCCATTCGAATTTTTCGATGGTTCGGACATACATCCAGAAGTTCCTTCTAGGGGAAAGGAGGGAGGAAGGAAGGAAGTAAGGAAAGAATAGAGGCACTCGATAGTTCGGAAATAGCTTTAACTGCCATACAGCTGGAAGACGTGGGCGGGGCCCGGAAATGAAAGAGGAAGTGCTACTAAGTCCACCTAGCTGGGTAGAATGGAAAGAATGGCCACGAGTACCCCCGTAATGAGGTCCTTAGCTTGGCAAAGGATTTTAAGGGGTTTTCAAAAACAATGTGAGGGCAGCGGCTACCATCTGATGGACTCCACCTAGTTCATTTCCGTTCGAATTCAGCAACACCACACGCTTTCGCCGATGATAGCAATTACTAATAGGGCTCGGGATCGTTTTTACATTAGTGCTGACCGGCCAGAGGATGTGGTCTGTGCCAAAGGTATGAGGGGTTGAGCAAGTGAACAATGGTTTGACGGCCCTTGTTCTTCCTTGAAAAGCTCAAGTTCTTCTGAAAGAAATCGATTCGTAGAGAGAATTCCATATTTAGGCTTTCGGGAAACACGTTTTTATGAGGCTCACCCCATACGGATACATTTGATCAAACATTTCTCCACAAAACCATGGCTATTTGCTTAAAATGAGAAAACAAACAGGTCCCAAATGAATAGAATGGGGACAAGCGAAACAGAACAAAGACATATATGGAAGCAAGGCAAAAGTGCTTGGCGTTTAGGTCCAACTGCTCAACTTTCTCAATAAAAAGGTGCGTTCCGGTTACGGAGGCAACAGGATTCTGACCGTATGATTACGACAGGGCCACGAAGCGTTGGAGTTCCCCGGTAGTACCATTTGGCAGTATTGGTGGCATTACGAGTGTTCTTTTCTCAGGAGGTTTACCCTCCACTAGATCGCTTCCTTGGAAAAGCCCTTTAGGGTTCCTCAGAAATCTTGGTTCTGTAGCGACTGCTGATCAAAAGTCAAGCCTATTGCTGTAACCCGAAGTACCTTCCGCAAAAACGGCTCCGGTACCACTGGCTTGACAACTAAGAGAATCCACCTGAACTTCTACATCCACAAAAAAGAAAAATTACGACATTAATACTTACCTGATTTGTGATATCATGCATATCGGTATCAGAGAACGATATGAGTTCTGGATCAGAGCCAAGGGAGTCACGTCGTGAACGAGTACCGTAGAGACGACTCGCCACTGATGCACTGCTGGCTGACGAGCCGTGCAATCGCATAGGAGAGTCCTGAAACGACTTGTTTATGTACGATGGCCAGAATTTTCTCGCATGTTTTCGATGATTATATGCCATTTCAGCGAAAAAGAAAACATCAGCCATTCATAGCAAATCGTAACAATTTTATACAGAACCACTTATATAGTAATTATTGCCGATAACAAGAAAGTTTCATGGAATAGTGAATCAGAGTGCTCTCCAAAACTGGTACCGGGAAACGAATCGCGGATAAACACATAACGGATTGGGAGTGGGCGATTTCAGTAATCCGTGAAAATCCCCTCGTCGATAGGCGAACAACAGATCGCTATCGTCACAAGCGCATAAGTACTTTCAGTAATTTCAGACTCCAATACAAATCGATTTGTTATAAATCAATATAGTGTATTGCCGATGGTGGACAAACATTCTGTACGAGTTTTCCGGTGGATAAGAATACGTTTGAGCTCGAATACCTTCAATTGTACTCCAATGACCACAGAGAGATGTACTCAGACTCATTGGAGGATGGACGTTATTATCAAGTGATAACTTTAATGATCAGAGCAGTCAGAGATGATCAACTGTAATCTTCGGTAGTAGAAGAGAAAGCTTGCCTAAATATGAGTGAATTTCGTATATGATCATTCTTCATACGATACGGGCCGCCTATGTGGGAATGATATGGGAATGAAGGTGAACCCATGAAAAGGATGACGCATCATCTAACTGTTAATGGCTACCCAAAAAGTTTTGAAAAAAGCATCATCATAGGTACGACATTGTTTGGGCGTACGCTGATGTGGGACAAGGTCTGTTAACGAAAACCGAAGTGTTCCTAATTTGTTCTGAAATCGAAAGTCCGTCCACAGAGAAACACACTGACCTAGGGGTTTAAAAGAAACAAAAGGTACACTTGTATGTACCTGACTTGCACTCCTATTGTAATCGGTGGCACAGAACTTGGTTCGGGATGATTTGAATGGGAATGGCAAGCAAGCAAAAGAACAGCTCAAATTCGCGAAGGGTTCCCGGCCCACACCATAACGAATGGTTCCCTCCTCACGCCTGGGAGCAACTAAAGATTTCGAAATGTGGTCGAATCAGAGGAATACAACGCTACCACCTTTCCCGACACGTAACTTCCAAGTCACTGATCAAATCATTTTACAGGTATTTACTTCGGTCACATTCCCTTCCTATTACGGTCTATCGGGGACGTTTCTAGAAACTCGCCATTGGTTGAAACGAAACAACATTGTTTTTGAGAGTGCATACCAGTCTCAGGTAGATTGCCACGGCAACCGACACCGGCAGACACTAAGCGACGGGTTTGCCTACGTTCAATCAATTGAAAATTATTCAGCAGAGTTTCGAAGTCAAACGAGATCTATGAGTGGAGTTCCTCTTTAACAGAATCAATCGGATTTATTCCACCTGACCTGGTTTTTCGGGACTGTCCATGAAATTAGGTAAAAGCGAGAAACCTGGACGGCATGCCATACCCAATACCTTCAAAGGGATACCCTGGACTGAAGGAACAAGAAAAATAGCGACAACTAGCATTAACCATTCGAACACTTCCTAAAGACAAAGTGCTCCATTGACCGGCAGAGTTAAACAGGTGCGGGGATGAACGAAAATTAGGCGTTAAAACCGATTCGAGCTAATGAAATTCCACAAGGTAAAGAATATAGTAGAACGACGTCGAAGGTGGTCGTGTCACTCGCAGCGGTTTTCACGAATGCCTATGCATGAGACCAAATGGTTGACACCGGCGGGCGCCCTGAGCTAACATTTACAGATGCCATTTTTGTCTGTAGCTATAAATGTCGTTGGAGGCGATGGTACGCATATTTGCATAGCTGCTTTATCAATGCAAAAAACGCCATGTTTCCTGACGAATTTGGTAACGAAATTGCTCGTCCGCGAAATCACACACGATTCAGCTCCATCACTGAGGGTTTATGTAAAGCCTGAACTGAAAATGCGTCAGAGTGTGAGAATCAAGGTGTTAGCCTGATGAAAACAGGTGGGAATCCGGGTAATTTGATGTCTGACGCATGCTCCAAACTCAAGGCAACCAGGGAATGAGCGGGACCTTGCGTCTGGTGCTTTGCCTCACTTCCGGGCAGCTTTTTCCCCAGCTTGAGGAAGAAAAAATAACTCTCAGTTTCAAAAAGCGGGCAGTACTCGTAATTCAAAGGTGGAGGAGAGAAAGTCCAAGTCCAAGCAGAAGTTAGAACATCTCTCCATAGTTCGGCTACAATGCGTCAGCTGAACTGGCTAGAGAAAGGAAAGCGGAGACAGTAGAGTCCAAAAACACTACAAAAGGAGAACTCTGGGAGTTGGAAACCAACCCACACCCAGACTGGGAACAGTGCAATCCCGACTGAGCACACTTACAATGACAAATGCAATGAGCTCTTGAATGACCGGCAAAAAACTATGAGCTGGCGCTAACGGAAAATGAGATTTTGAGGTCGGAAATCGGAAATTTCCCAGAAGAGCATCAGTGGTTTTTTTTATCAGAGCGAATCGAACGAGTCTAAGGTTGTAGGCATCTAGTACTCATGAATAGAACTTTGAAAAATAACAGAATTTCAAAAATACAAGTTCAAAAGAATTCTTTAGCCAATTTACCTGCTTGAGCGATTTTCGCGGAAAAATTGGCGATTTGCTGACCCATGGAAAACGCGTGCCTATGTGCATGTATCAGTTCTGAGGCGACTAAGCCAGGAGGCGATCAGTTGGAGAAGATTGCCGGTGATAAGCTATCACTACTAGCTACGTAAAACGAATGGTTAAGTTGGATGCTATCAGCTTGATTTATGGCTACACACACGTCACAGTGTTCCTTTTTTAGCTTTTCAAACGATGCACGGAATGAGACCGGGGCTACGTCATGTTTCTGTCCAGTGTTTGAAATTGTGACTTTCAGAAAATGATCTTTGGCCTCTTCCATTCATTCATTCGTTTCTTTCTTTTCAAAATAAGAATATGTGCTGCATGGAAAAGAATTTAGCAAAAAACGAGAGCAAAGCGAAGTGTTTGCAAGAATAGGCGGAGAAATGCGGTGCTCGGACAATGGAGACGGCCAAACGGAAATGACCGGAGACAACAAGCACCTCTCAGCCCCGAGTTTCCCCCCGCTCCCCTCAAAAGGTCCACTTTCAACCGGTTCGAGAGGCAGTCAGGGTCACGAGAGCGCACCCACTTCTGACCGAGAAAAACTGACCATCATCATCATCTCAGCGAAAAAATTCGCGATAGTTCTCCTTGGACTTGCCTGTCGTCCACTCTGACGTTCAAGCTGACAGGGCGGTACAGTACGAAGATATACCGTAGAAAGTAAGGGTTCCAAGAGCAATCTAGTTCGTAGCTAACTTATCAAATCAAGCATGTAACAGACTTCATACGTCACTACATTGTAATCAACCACCAACCACTGGAAAACAAACAATTACCGTAGTTATGACGACACAGTCAAGTTTCAGACTCACATAATAGCAACTGGTAAATAGGCTAGCTTCTTCAGGAATGACGTTCTGATAACAAAGTGTCTCAATAGCAATCATATTGCTTCGATCACTCGGTGAACGAAGAAAGCCCGACAATGTCAATGATCCAACAGCGACTAGTTTGGAATTTGTACCAGTTAGATTCGTATAAGTTGGGACCCTAGAACGAGAGTCAACCGATCCTCGAGGCTTTTGGGGAATGTTTCAGTTAAAGCTTGAGTGCAGTTTGCAGATAGTGCCTTGGGGAGACAAAGGACTGCCAAGACTGATGGAATTTGGGCTTGCATTTTTGAGCAATGTACATGAAATATGTACCACTTTGAGAAGCAGAAACCATCTAACCAGTAAAAGCGGATGGAACTCAAGCTCCCAATTTACCCTAAAATTCCATAGATAAGAGCGGTCGACACTACCGGTGAAAAATGAATTGGAATGAAATTGAAATTGAATGCAGTCACCCTCTAACTTGTGATCGATGGATAAATTAAACCTCGAAGAAGAAGTTAAGAAGAAGCTCCGCCCCTTAACTCTAAACCCCGCCCACTTA